AATTCTTTTGGGCTGAATTGTGTTGGGTTGAATTGTATTTGATTGAAATGTCATACCTTGAAAGCTTGAATTGTGTTTGGTTGAATTATGTTGGGTTGAATTGTGTTGTTTAGGTTCTGGTGTCATATATTCAGCACACTCAGGATGATGTATATTTTCGGTGAATTTTCCCGCGCATTTTCACTTTTTTTAAGCTATTGCTGTTCACAGTTGGCACAATGTAATGAAAATTGATTATATTCACGCACGTGTTTGCGCAATCCCGGCCATCTTTATTTCAGAAGAAATTTTCTCCAAAGTCATATGGCAACACTGAACACCATCTGTTTACATTTCGTATGTATAACAGCTGCAGTTTACGATTACTGTACGTTCCGTATCGGACAAGGCGGACAACCGGAAGAGTCAGAAGTAACCCGGACATGTCTTATATTTTATTATTGTCAGTTCGACTCGCGTAGTCAATATACTCGCGTATATTGTCGACTAAAATAGTAGAACTATTTTAGCTTTCTAAAGTACGGCGCACGGTGCATTTTTTTACCAACGTAGTATGGCGCACCGCGCAGGTTGTTAAAATGACAAAATAAATTCCCGCGCACCTGGCACATCTTCCTGACCATGGTATATTCAAAGGTTTAAGTAGTTTTGGTATCAAATATTCAATAAAACTGGCCACAATTTGGGTTAAAAACCCTATCTTGGCAATAAAATTGTCAAGATCTAGGCTAGTATTTAATTGCCAGCAAGTTTACATTCTAAGACAATAATGTGGTAAAAAATTGTCTTTTGGAATATTGGCTTCAATCATTATTATGCTGAGTTGGCAATTTCTGTACACAACATTACACTTATTTCTGCCTAATTCTGATTTTGTGTGGAATTGTTCTTCTTGTGAGTGTCTGTAGGTGTAGGGCAAGGACTTTCTGAGGAGATTACTTTAAAGGCTTGTCTGTGTTCAACTCTCCATTATTTGTCACTTATTAGAGCTAATTTTTTTGCAAAGCTGAAATTTATTTGGAATGATGGAAGTATGTAGTAGATGTTGTAGATGGTATCATGAAAAAATTTCAAGTTCAATGCATCATTGCTCAAAAATTGTCCACTGGCTATTAAATCATATAAACTACCTAGTCCTGACATGTAACAAATTTTGATTATGAATGTTTGAAATGTATTTGCTTCTAAAATTTATGCCCTGGAAATTGTAGATACGGTATCATCTGTATTACATATTGCATTGCAGGTACTAAATGCTCTTGATGCCCAAGCTTCTTCCATCAAAGTAAGCATCAACTACCAGCTCTTCAAGATTCAAGTTGAGGACAATGGACATGGTATATCCAAACATGGTCTCAAGCTGCTGGGAGACAGGTGGGTTCAATGGCCTTATTCCATCTAAATATTATAGCCATAAAATTAAGCTGAGGAACTTATATATTTTTTGTTTGATGGTGCTTACTCCAGAAAGAGACTTATATTTACTGGTCTATAGTAATTTAGAAAAAAGAGCAGTGAATCTAAAATTTTATTCGTACTTATATTATCAGTCTGCTTATGTTGCAAGTTCACAAGGAATTTAAAATCAAAGAAAATGCCAAAAAAACAGGACTAGATTGGAACAACTTAGTCCTAGGGGTCACAAAAAGAATAAAACTTAAGAAAAAACCCTAAAACATAAAAGCCTAGCGATTCACTATTTCCAGATTAACGTATATGATTATATGAACTAAATGCATTATTGAGACATGATTTTTGTTTGGAGATAGGTAGAGACTCCAAAATTCTCAAATCCCAGCAGCCAGAAGTGGAACTGAGTATCCTGAAATTACTCTCAGATACAGTCACATCGCACTGTTCAGCATGTAGCCCCGCACGGAAGAATGAGGAGGCTTGGTGAGAGGCAAGCTAGAACGATAGCTCCTGCCACGGTGTTTAGAAACTCAGATGTAGAAGTTACCGTATGCCACGTACGTTGGAATGACGTCTCAGTAATGAAATGACATCTCGGTCTCAATACTGCGTTTAGTTCATATAATCTGAAAATAGTGAAACACTAGGCTTGTATGTTTTAGGGTTTTTTCTTAAGTTTTATTCTTTTCAATTTTAATTGCCCCTAGGACTAAGTTATTCCAATCTAGTCCTGTTTTTATATAATGTTAGGTCTTGTTTAGGTTTTATGTCTGTCTTCGAATTTTGACTTATAAAATGATTTTATTCATTTTTAGTTTAGTCAAACTGATGACGGAGCTGGACTCCGAAACGTTTTCAATATCGACATGGTGAATTTGCTTGGCGTTTTTTTTTGCTTTTAAATTCCTTGTAAAATTGTATTTTTTTATAACAGTCATTTCAAGGGATAATCCTTTTGCCATATCTTATCTCACTTGTAGTTCTTTGTATGTCAATCATAAAAACTTTGGTGATCAAGTTCACTGTGGAAGTATAAAAAGTAAAGACATTAATTGAACTGATGATTTAAATTTGAAGAAGAAATTGTCAATTACAGAATGGCTAATTTTCTCATTTGGTTACAGACACGTGACCAGCAAGAGGAAATTATCTGGGAATGGCAAAGATGGAATTTTCTTCTATGGTTCCCGTGGTCAGGCACTGGCTAGCCTGGTCGAGGTCTCTGGGTATCTCGAGATCCGAACACGGTGCAATGTTGATAAAAAACAGTTATTGCATAAACATAAAAAGTCTACTCACGAGCTTGGTGTTGGAAACATGGAACATCGTCCATCTCAGAAGGGGTCTGAAGGAAATGCACTTTGTGATGATACATTTTCTAAGCAGTCAAGCAAAGAACAATGCTTGAAGAAGTTGTTAAACAAAAGATCTGGGTCAAGCATAGATGACAGACTTGTTGACCAAGAAAAGCCAGAAATATGTCTTGAAGATGGTGATTCATTGGAAATAATTTCCAAAAAATTGCTACCATTCAAAGAGAAATTGAGTGTTGATACCAAAGTCCCATTTAAAAGGAACACACTTGTGAAAACATTTCGTTGTGGCAAAAGTGAAGGGTTGACTTTTGCTGAGGATGAAAAACAAAGTTCTGGCACTACAGTTACGATCTATGACTTCTTCTACTGTCTTCCTATCAGGCGAAAAGTCATGAGGGCGGTCATCGAGCTGGAGAACCTCAAAACTTGGATTGAAAGCATTGCGCTGGTGCATCCTCAAGTTTCGTTCTCATTAAGAAATGACAATGGCAGTTGCATTTGCAGGATGTTGCAAGCAGCAAAATGTGATTCCACGTTAGAAAGAGTAAGACAACTCTACGGTAATGATCTTAGTACAAGTTTAATCCAAGTTCAACATGAGCTGGACGACGTGAAAGTGCGCGGTTTCATCGGTATTCAACCTTCACAAAGCAAAAATTTTCAGTTCCTCTATGTGAACAAACAGCTTCTACTAAGAACGCCACTGCATAAATTTATGAAAAAACTTATCGCACGTAGCAATTTAATCGAAGCTCGTAGTCATGTGATAATAAATTCTAAAAGTTCTCCTAAAGCTCACACTCCAAGCAGCCCCTCCAAAACTGCAAGTCTTCACGGCGTTTTTATGCTGCAAATAACATATCCTGTTGAACACTTTTCCATAGCTAAGGAAAACTCTAGGACTTTCGTTGAATTTCGAGATCTAAACAAGGTGCTGAATTGCTTGCAGCAAATGTTTATTCAGTTTTGCAAAAGTCAAGATATTACCACACAATTACGTGAAGTAACTGCTTCCGACCCCAAGTTGAAATCTGAAGATGAGCTCGATGATAACGAGAAGCCCATTGACGATGAAGAAGTTGTACCGATCGCTGATGTAGTTAAACCGCCACTCTCTTCTAGAACTCAGGATAAACTAAACGCTTTTCGCTGTAAACGATCGTTGAGCGTCCCAACTTCATCTGAGGAACCGAAGGCCAAGTACGGAAAGCTCGTGGGAGTCTGGGATGTGCGCAGTATTGTCCAAGGGTGTGTAGTTTCCCGACCTAAAATCTGCTCCAATGACAATGCGGGTGCCTGCAGTAACTTTCCTAGCACTTCTGCTGCTTGCGGTAACTCTCCTAGCACTTCTGCTGCTTGCGGTAACCCTCCTAGCCCATCTGCTGTCTGCGGTAACCCTCCTAGTCCATCTGCTACGTGTGGTAACTCTCCCAGCTCTTGCGGCGCTCGTGAAGATGAACCTGACTCTGAATGTTCGTTTTCCGATGAAGAAAACGAATCTCCGTCCGTTTTAAAGGTTGAAAACAACTTGTCTTCAGCAGAGTTGAGAGAGAATAAGGGAGATCGAACCTCGAAGAATCGTTGTTATGGGAAGAGCAGTTCCTTGCTTGAATTTAAGAACATGCTGGCAGTCAATGCCATCCGATCAAAAAACCACAGCGGTTTGAAAAAGAGCGACAGGAAATCTGTTTCGTGCTTGTATCGGAATGACAAACTTCTCGGGATATCTGGCACTAAATTTAATAAGAATCAGTCTTCAGACTCTGGGCTATCTATAGTCAATAAGAAAAACAATAGTAGGCCTGTTCACGAGCTGAGTAGCTCCTGTGAATCATCTTCGGAAGAAGAAGAAAGCAACCGAAAAGAACAAGAAAAGGCGTCCTGTGAGGTACGGGGCAACAAGAAGTATGAGGAGGAGACCGAGAAAGCGAAGAACTCGTCTATTCAGAAATTCCGTGACTTAATCACTCTCGGTAGTGATGAAAATGCCACGAATGTAGACCACGCGTCTTGTATTATTGACAGATCAACTTCAACGGAAATTGCATCGAAGGCTCCTTTGAAAGCCATTAAATTCAACTCAATTGACATCTCTAATAATTTGCCACGCATCGCCGACTTCGAGTCATCGAATTCAAGAAAAAATCTCAGCATTTGTGACCCTAGGCAACCGGATTCCGGGATTAGTACGTCATCCTTCAACAAGCTCGGCATGACCTGCAAGAGAACGAGGAGTCCATTGAAGTCCACTACTAGAAAACGTGCAAAGGTAATAGACATTCAGCTGCCGCTGAACAACAGCTCCTGTTCTTCAGTAGCTAATTCGCTTCATTTGAAACGTAAACAAGAAAATAAACAACGAGAGACCAGCATTTTTCTTTCCCAATTCAGGCATCCTAATGAGTCGAAGAGGAAACCTTTGTCAACGCACGTTAGCTCTGGTCAAAACTTGGCAGAGGAAACTACGTCCGATACAAAACTTTCCAAACTCGACAATGAAACCTTTAATTTTAATCCTGTTATTACTACTTTGGCTCCAGGTATCATCAAAAGACCTGCTGAAAATCAGGATGGAGCATCATCTAGTAGTGACCGGCTCGGGTCAAGAGATACAATGCTCGCTAATAAAATCCCTTCAGCAGCGTCGGCATCATTATTCATTTTAGAAAATAATTGCCGAGACTGTCTTTCTCACGATATTCAGCGTAATTCAGTGAAAAATCCAGGCACGACGTCGAATGTATGTGCAAACTCTGAACGCGTTTTGAACAAATCTGCACGTCAGTCTGGTGTTATAAAAAATCTTGTGTTTGGTGATGGAGGGAATGAGATGAATATGGAGCACACCAACTCTGCCATATCCTGCTTGCCTGTTCGTTCCAGGCAGGCTCACGAAGTACGATTTAGGAATGAACCAAATAATGATCCCATACCTGAAAAGATAACAGATCACTTATCTGGAAGATCCGACCTCAGATCACCACTCATTGTTCCTAGAGTTAATAGTGAGCCTATTTACAGTGTAGGATCTGCCAAAGCGCACGCTGCCAAAATAAGTGCCCCTGAGAAACCTATTCAGATTTCTTCACAAGACGATTTGACGTACAACTCTCATCCTAACCGAGTTGTTCCTTGCTCCATTTCCGGAGATTCTTTAACGTATAATTATCATCCTTCTTATATTGTTCCTTGTTCTGATACTGGAGTCACTCTAACGCATGATTCTCATCGTAGTGACTCGGAACATTTTTCGACTTCGTCGTTGTGTTTTGCGAATATTTTCCCTGTGAATGATGACGCTCTCACCTCTACTGAACCTCTCGTAGCCACTGAATCTCTCATCTCTACTGAACCTCTCGTAGCCACTGAATCTCTCATCTCTACTGAACCTTTCCTCTCTACTGAACCTTTCCTCTCTACTGAACCTTTCCTCTCTACTGAACCTTTCCTCTCCACTGAACCTCTCGTCTCCACTGAACCTCTCGTCTCCACTGGATCTGTCGTTTCTACTGAACCTCTCGTCTCCACTGAACCTCTCGTCTCCACTGAACCTCTCGTCTCCACTGAACCTCTCGTCTCTACTGAACCTCTCGTCTCTACTGAAAGTGTCGTCTCTACTGAATCCATTACAAGTCAAGCTAGTATATCTGGACTCAGAAACGACTGTGCTAGCAAGTTTACTGATATTGTCAGCTCCAGCAAAGATGATAATAATATTGACAATAAAGTTTTAGGTCTTGTAAATACGATTTCTCGGAGTGCTGAGCCTGAGGGCATGCTTCAAAGTGGTCTCAATCACGTCAATGACTCTTATGGTTTCAGCAATGTGAATTCAAGCGCTTCAAAAGTTACTTCTAGTCATATGAAGGATGATAAGGCCAACGCTAGTGATGAACCTAACTTCATTGATGATTCGTTGAAGTCTCCATACTTTGCTCCTGTTCAAAATAAAGGCGATTGTGCGGATAAGTCAACTTCTCCGTGCAGAGTGAGACAAGTGATCCTCAAGGCAACGCCCTTTATGTCGTTCCTAGAAATTCTTCCGAATGATTCACTGCCAAGTACCGCTACAACAGAGACGATTTCGAAAGAGTTGGCTGCATCTGTCCAGGAAAAAAGACACGATATCGATAACAATCTTGTCGTGGAGGAAACGCCCCAGTTTCCTACGGGTTCAAGTGAAGTGACTTCAAGTATAAAGGAAAATGACGGTGAAAGTAATACTATGTTAAAATCAATGCCAGAATTCGTTGGTCTCGTTAATCTTCATCAAGATCGTCGTGATTTGGACGCCGATTTCTCCCAAGACTCGCTCTGGTTGACACAACAAACGCGTTCTTCTTCACGAGTCACTGCCGAATTTTCCGGTGGTCAAACATCCTCACTACCCAACGAAGATAATAGGACAATTCCACCCGACAGTCGTGAAACTCACAAAATTTCTGGCTGTGGCATGTCAGAGGGTTGGGATCTAGAGCTGGGGATTTCAAGGATTGGGATCCCAGAGAGTGGGATCTCTAAGAAAGAGATCCTCGGGAGTGCGATCCCAGAAAATACGTTTCCCGACACTCTGAAGGTTGGCAGTGGATCGTCTCTAAGTATGGAGTCATTAAATTATAAACCGTGTGGGGTTCACGAGTCTCCAAATAATGCACCAGCTCGGCTAGCTGGAAAATTGGCATCTATTGTTTCATTTTCGAATAGAAATTCGTGTTCAATTTCATCACGTTCCCTTACAAAGGCCGCGTTGGGAAATGACTGCATTTCTCCGCCTCGAGGCATCAATGTGACAACACCTGTTGAAGAGGATTCGTTAAATACGGCAGTTGAACTACATAAAGGCTGGAAACAAACAACCGATGCTAGTGGTCGACTTCTTTATGTTAACGAACGCTGCGGCAATTCGTCGTACGTCCCTCCTAAGAAAGAAGTTGTGCATTCGGTGCCTGAAAATGAAACGGGTGCATCGAACATAACCGTGAAGGATGTTCAACTCATCCCTATTTCTGGAGAACCTCGTACGGTGACGCAAGAAGGGTTTAAAGGAGTTTTCTACCATCCTGTTTGTAAGGATTTCATGGAGAATCTGAATACGCGTGTCACTTTTCGGTCAAAACCACAAAAGCGGTCTTTGCACGACACAGACCTCCAGATTCCGGTGCTGCAGCGAGGTGCTAGTGATTTAGGTACTGAATCTGGTCCTAGTTCTAAAAAAATTTCCACTGATGTTGCTGTCACTGCAGCAGCTTCAAGTTTCACAGAAATTCTTACTGATTCCAACGCTTCAAAATGTTCGGAAAAAAATTCAAACTCTGCGGTATCCTCAATTGACACAGCCGATTTGCATCCTGATTCTTCAGTTCGTGATGGCCGTGATGCAGCCGATAAGGCTGGGTGCGTTGAAGGAATCAATGTTTTTCCTAAGAAAAACGAAATTATTTTGAATGCGAATCAATCAAAGTTAATAGAAACATCTAATCTCCGAAATGATGGTTCGAACCGCCGGTCGGGAGAGGCCGAAATCCGGTCCCTGTGCTCGAGTTCCAAACGTTTTTCGATGGATGCTCCGATACTCCAGCTGCCCTCGGGTCATCCCGACGAGGCTGCAAGCTTGTGCTCCGCTCATCGGCCGTGCCGCTTCACTAAAGCCATGTTTGACAAATGTGTGGTAAGTTGAGGCCAAAAATGTTAAACAAAATGAGGAATGAACCGGTTATTATGCACGTTTAACATATTGTATCAGTGGACGTAATTTTTAGTGTAATATTGAGTAAATAATTCATTGTTGAGGTCGAATCCGGTTTAGGTGTTAAGCTAATTGCAATATATTTTTGTCATTCTTATGTCTGAAAATAGAACCCTCAGGCGAGTCTGAAAATCCCACTCTTAATTTTTGTGCGATAAAGGTCTCCCCTTATTCCCTTTAGGTGCTGGGCCAATTGGATCGAAAATTCATCTTGTGTACCTTGGAAACTCCTGCTAGTGAATCTGAATCAAAATCTGACGCCCCAGTTGAAGTCTCAGCACGACCTGGAATGCCTGTTGAAACTGCAGGCAATGTTGACAATTCATTGATGTCGGGCCCAGCTCTGAACGCCGTACAACATTCAACCGATGGTTTAACTACCGCAGAACGTTTCATGCCTGCTGAGACGAGATCAACTGAGTTAATAACGGGTTCAACGCGGGGCAAGAAGAATTCAGTTATTTATAATTCTAGTTGTTCAGTTATTCCCAGCAGTTCTTCATCTAAAGACGGAGTATCGACATCTTGCCAGGGCGCAAATGCTTCGCCTGATGACCGTGACGCCTGCCGTGCAGAGTTGAAGTGTCTCAGTCAGTCGTCCAAGAACTGTTCTGGAAATTCAAGTAGTGACATTGAAATTAATGAGAATAAAGTTACAGTAGAATGCCCTCGTCAAGCCTCCATGCTGCTGGTTGCTTTTGACCAGCACGCTGTGCATGAGCGAATCCGGTTAGAGGCTTTGCTTGCTGATAATTTGTGCTGGAAAAAAGTAGCTGTTGCTTCATTTGCGAGTGAAAGTTCTAGCGAAGTATGCTTACCGGCTGAACTTGAATTAGTTACCTGTGCAAAGACGAAAAATATCTTGAATTCAGAAACAAATTTTGCTTGTGTAGAAACTACCGACATAATATCAAGTTTACATGAACCTCCAGCTAATAAAACTGATTCATCTCAAATCGATAATGAACTCCCTTCAGCTTCATGCAATTCACGGATTTTTTCGGAATCCAGTGCTGAAACCAAAAGTGAAATGACGAATTATGGAGAAAGTACAGTTGCTCCAGCAACGTATTTCCGATATGTGCAGCTTGTGAAAATGGCGCGGATTTCACCTCCAGTTTGTGTTGATTTTTCCCCTTCCGACGTGCGGATCATGGAGGCGTATAGGGAAAAACTGCGCCGCTCTGGATTTGAATTCAAAGTGGTGAGTAAATTGCCATTGTTTGGGGATAGGTATTGTTAAACAATTCATGTCAATATCTGAACACATCAATTCAAGCTGGTGAATGTGATTAAAAATAAATTCTAATTTTTCTAGCAAAAGCTAGTCTATTTACCTGACATTTTGATCCGCCCCAAGCATTGACGGTGGTTGACGTATTTGTAGACAAAGAGTTAACCCTTTTATGTACGGGTACATCTAACCCTTAAGGGGAGCGTCTACCCTAAAATTGAAAATTTTCACTTTTTCGGTTTTTATACTCATTTTAAAGCTGACATTCTGCCCTATCCAACGGTACCACTGCCATCTCTCTACGTTGATTACCCCTTTTTTGGCCGTTTTCTAAGAATTTCACGTTTTCTTTTATTTTTTTCGAAAAATTGACACGAATAAAAGCTGTCTATTTTTTGATTTGACATATGTGTACCAAGTTTCAAAGTGATCCGTCTGTAAATAGCCGAGATAATTTTTGGGGTAGACGCTCCCCCTCTGTCTAGGTCGCCACCGGTAAATAATGAGCCAAAATTGTTTCTAAGGTCTAACTTTTAACCGTGTACAGTGTACACGTCGCAATCCTTAGACAAAACGTTACCCCTTTTTCTATTGATACGTAAAACCTGTACACGTTGCTACGTCTTGACAAAGAGTTACCCCTTTTCCAAGAGTAAATTTAACCCCTATAACCCCGCAGATCCCAGGAGGAGGGGTTCGGTTCACGGGGGTGCCCGCGTGTCTGCTGCCTCGTACGTTAGTAACCCACGCTCTCGCCGCGGGGGGCGTTGAGCCCAGCGGTGCTCAACTCGACTCCGGCACCCAGGACGGGAAAATGGACGTGAAAACGCAAAAATTAACATCAAAAGATCCGGCAATGGATGCAAACTTGGGTAAAAAGCACTTAATTAAAAAGAAAATTGAATTTACTAAGCAGGATATCAAAAATTCAGCGATGCAGCTTGAGATTTGCAATCTGAAATCTAAAGATTGTGACCAGTCATCAAAAGAGTTAACGAAAGATGCACAGCACGCTCACCTGGACTCGGAACAACCTCTCTTGGATAAAAAAATCAGCTGGACACGTGCAGGCACTCTGGACGCTTCTGGACAACCAGAAATTTCTCTGGACGGCGTTGGGCTCCCTGAGTTCGCTCTGGACGGCATAGAGTCGCTGCCTGCAGACTACTGGACCAAGTGGAAGGGGTACCGCCTCTCCATCCTACGAGGTAATCCTTGTTATAAACTAAAAGATGGAAGCCTACTCTGTATACGTGCTTTGTATCATCTAAGTTAAATTCTTTCATGCTGTGTCTTCATTCTTGATCCATTAGATGTCCATCCATTACTTAAATAATGATTCAAAGTATAATATATTATAATTTAGGACAGTAGTATCAGCGCTGAAGAATAGGCGAAATTTCGCCTGCCGCCGAGTCTTATATTGTTCTTGACTTGTCTTCTGGAGATCTGACGACTGGTCTCTTGACCCGTGACCTGAATATATAAAGCAAATTGATGAATTGATTAAAATAAGGAAAAATGCTTTAAAATAAATACAAATCAAGGTCTGTGGAAAAGTGATCCTCAATTATTTGTTTTTGTCGCAGGTATCGTACGTCACATGGTCGACGAGCTGCGCAGTTGTCGTACCGCCGCGACGCTGCCGCCGCCGCTGCTGCGCGTCCTACACACGCACGCCTGCCGCGGTCCTTTTCATTTGCTCGTTTATTTATAAAGAAAAGTAGTAAATTTGCTAGCTCAAGTGCTTGCTATTTACTTAGCTGTTGTAGTTTCTTATTAATTTTATGGCATATTTATTTTCGTTTGTTTACTCGCGTAGTATCGTGTTGGTTCCAGTGTCTTCATTAATTTTTTGACATTTATATTAGTTATATTTTGGATGAATTCAGGTAATTTATCACAGTTTTTACGAATTTATTCAGACAATAAATTGATAATCAATATGATCGATTATTAATAATTTTTTAATATGATCGATATTAATAAATAACTGAGTATATTAATAAAATTGTTTCTTTTTGTACAGGGGCGATCAAGTTCGGCGAGCGCCTTCGTCGCCCGCAGTGCCGGGCGCTGCTGGGGGCGCTGGGGCGCTGCGCCCTGCCCTTCCAGTGCGCCCACGGGCGGCCCTCCGTGGCGCCCTTGCTGGACGTCGCGCCCGTTGCTGTCCCGTCTCAGGTACGTCCCGTGGCGCCCGTTGCTCTCCCGTCTCAGGTACGTCACGTACTGGCTTGGCTACGTCAATCATTAATACGTTTTTAGTTATACTTTGCTTTCATGCCAGCAGAGGTAAATTTCATGCTGTCCAAATTAATCGAATTTCAAGCTTTAGTGTATTGATAATTTATTTCTAGGTAATTATTGATAATTAATTAAGTAATAAATGATTTATTAAGAGTTGATATATATATTTAATTATCATTAATGAACGTTTTTGGACTTGCAGGCGGTGGACGTGGCCAAGCTGCGGCGCATGATGGCGGACGACGAGTAACTATAATGCGCGGATGAAAAATTTACATTTTCTTAAAAATTACGTATAAAAAACTTTCTATTTCCATTAAAGAACAATGATTTTTTAATCATAAGGAAGCACCCCGTAGGAACTCTCAAACATGGCTGAAGAATTAGTATTTTTTTTTGTAACATATAAAAAACTTTTTAACTTCTTAAAGGTCTAAATGATTATTTTTGATCAAATAAGTTCGGTTTGTATAAAGGGTCTAAAAATCACCTCGCTTTGCGGACGCTCTTTACGCTGTTTCATGTTCCGTTTTTAGTGTAAAGGAAAAGATCCATGATATTTGAGCCATAATGTATAATAAATCAGTTAGATACTTGACAATTTTTATCCCACTTACAAGAAATAAAAGAAAAAAAATATAGTTTACAAAGAATATAATTTACGAATCAATGTGACCGTACGTTACACCAGTACAAATATGGTGCACTGAGTTATTCTGTTCGACATATCCTTATAATAAACTTGGGAGAAAATAAGTGGAACGTTGTCCAAATAATGATGCACTTGTAACCCTTGTGTTAGTCATCATGACCCAGCAGGACGTATCATTGCAACGTCCGCTCACCGTTTGCGATGTGGGTAGGAAAGTGTGTCTCTATTTGGAAAATAGGACCCATAGATTTTCTGAGTGTAAATTCCGCGACGGTTGCAAGAGTTAAAGCCACAAGTAACGCATGAAGATAACCGGTGAAGTCATCTTCGTATTTATTTTACTAGTATTTCTTGTGGATCACAGAAATATCGAACAACGCATTTCTAACGGGCGACAGAACGCGCGCTCTGTTATATTTACAAATGCTAATAGAAATTATTTTTTTTTGCACAAAATGAAGTAAAAATATAATCAAGACCAGGGCCTATACTTTCAAAAAAAGTTAATAGATCGTAAGTTCATCAGCTAATCATTGACGGCCTTTCAAGCAAAATCCACCAATCATAGACAAGAAAATAGAGCGTAAGTACTTAAGTTCACTTAGCGAATTTTGAAAGTATGGTCCCTGATTGTCAATTACAAAACTTATCCTCGACACCAACGACCCACGCACAAACTACCGTTCTTTGTGAAGAAATTTTTAACGACTGAATTGTAACGAGGTCTGCAATGGAGCTTACAATTACAAGCTTCTTTGTATTGCAACTCTAGGATGAAAGAAAAGTAAATTCTATCTACAACTCAACTTTGAAATATAGGAATTGGCATTAATTACTCCACAAGAGTCAGTAAATTAGCTCTAGTTATTATATTTGTATTCATTTAACCTTAGCAAATAACATGGCAAGAAAACGATGTTTGGACTCGATTTTCAAATATCTTGGCATTCACATCCCGTTTTACGAAAAAGATTTGTACAAATAAAGCATATGCTTTCATATGAACGACCATTATCATAAAATAAAATTCCAGCCTTAGGTAGAAACCTCGTCAAAAGACATGCGTTGCAGGGAAATACTTTTGTTCAAACACCCATACGCATTTTTTCATATTGCTCATATTTTGTAATATTTATGATTAAAATTTGGACAACATAAACATTTTATATAAAGAGTAAACTAGCTTCACGATCAGAACAAGGATAGCATCGACAGCGATCTAGTGAGTGACGTCGTGAACGCGCAGTTTTTAACGTTGAAAAAATAACAGGATGCTTATCCATTGAAAAAATAGGTAAAGTAGCTAAACTAAAAGTAAATTGATAAGTCAATAAAGACAAAAATATTGGAAAGTCAACCTAGATGCATAACCCATGGTAAACACGGGTATCAGTCCTGGACAGACGTATCTATCCTAACGATACACGAATGCATCCTCTAGATACACATAGACATCCGTGACAGACAAATATCAGATGACGAATATCAAGTAAGTAGAATGGTTTAATTTACTTATTTATCCATCAAGTGATGGATAAGTAAATAAGTAGTAGAATGGTTTACTAGCGCTTCAGCTATCAAGCTATTTCGCACCGGAGTTCAAAAGTAAACATCGCCAACGAGGCGGAAGGTCTCAATTGTCCAGCCCGCTGAAGCTGGCTCGAAAGAAGCAGCGTTAGCATCTCAAAGAGACGAAGTGACAAGGAGGGACAGGTGACGAGGAGGGACAGGTGACAATGAGGGACAGGTGAAAAGCAATAGAAGTTAGTTAGTTAGTTTAGTGGCCAAATGGTTACTAGCGCTTCAGCTATTTAGCTATCTCGCACCGAAAGTCAAGATGAACATCACCATAGAGGTGGAAGGTCTCAGTTATTCATCATCCACAAGGGGCGGAAGGTCTCAGATGTCCAGCCCGCTGAAGCTGGCTCGAAAGAAGCAGCGTTAGCATCTCAAGAGACGAAGTGACAAGGAGGGACAGGTGAAAATAACAGAAACGAAGACACTCGAACACATAATAACTTAATGTAAGGAATCCTACCTACATAATAACTTAATGTAAGGAATCCTACCTACATAATAACTTAATGTAAGGAATCCTACCTACAAAATAACTTGACCCCACAATTGAGACCTGCAGTCAGACACCGCGGGGCGCTCAGGAACAATCCCCCTAGGAGCGCGAGATCCCTAGGACTTCTGACGAGCACAGACACACGTCAGAAGTCCCTCTGAGGGGCTATTTTGGATATGTAACTCAGGTATAGGTGAGTATGCATCAGGTCAAGCTCAGGTGAGTATGCAACTCAATAGCTTGACCAACGTTACACCATAAAAAATATCCAACAAATTAACCAAAACATTCATCAAATAATTCCAGATTCCTGGAAATATTTCCGCCGATTAACTTTCAATATGTAAGAAATAAAAGTACAATTTGACAGCTTATGCACGATAACAAAACAAATAATGCATTCTTTCAAGCATTGTCAAATTCATAAAAAATTGCATAGAAATATCAGATACATATATATCTAATGCTTAAATATTTTCATCTTTGATGTAAAATTTGGTGCCGAATTTCATTTTATATTCCCATCATTTGTGCGCCGAATATCAAGACAATGAAGTGATGAGAAGAAACTTCTCTGCGCGTCATACACGACATGTATATACATGGCACGTATACCGTAGCACCCTACACATGGCACGTATACCGTAGCACCCTACACATGGCACGTATACCGCAGCACCCTACACATGGCACGTATACCGCAGCACCCTANACCCAGCACCCTACACATGGCACGTAAACCACAGCACCCTACACATGGCACGTATACCGCAGCATCCTACACATGGCACATAAATAGTCCCTATAGAAATTCATGTATTCTGTCTTGCCAGTATATTACAAAAGTTTGTAACAGTATTAGTTATTATTTTGTAACTAGTACAAGAAATTGCTACAATTTTGAGACATAAAAATTCTAATTTACAAGCTAGATTGCAATACCGCACATTAAATGTCTCGGTGTTCAATATATTGTATTAAATTATTTGTATTGTGCTGCCACATCGAACTTAAGCCTGAATAAACGTGACTGCATAACTCACTCTGTCTTGACATTATTATTATAGACATCAGATTATATTAGAACAAAAGAACTTGAATAACATACTATGTAAAATAATCCTCACAATTTTAACAAGAAAATATCAATAATTTTTATTTTTTTATGTAGCATTTTATCATAATTTCAAAAATGTTATTGAATGAAATATATTTAGTGGGAAGTAATAAGACGTTATTTATGAAAGAATAAACGTACAGATTCTCAGTTTGTCACATTTAAACATCAAAGCGCAAATTAATTTGCTCATAGCAGAGGTGCAAAGTCAATCGATATAATTAAGTGCATTTCTTGCAACATTGAAACACAATTGATAATAATTAGACTGTTCAGATATGCTTCATTCGAGAGACTCATAACATGATGCATGACTGCAAACCAATAACATGACTCTGGGTTCAATATTTAAATCATATTATATAAATATATAATGTCACTGTATAAAATATAATAAGAGAATTTTTCAACACCCATATTCCACAAGAAAATTGTCATAAATACCAAATTTATTTCCATTATCAAACCCAAAAAAAAACACAACATAAGAACCAGGCCATCCAGACCAAGCACAGTAGTAGTAGCATAGTTATGGCCCTTGTAGAATATCTTTACCACTCAGCTGGAGCATGAAATATTATTTGGCAAGCGAGACCTCACTCAAAGGAAACGGCTTGCAAAGAGAGAACATGCTTTCTTAAAATATGTTGTGTATTTTGTCGTACGCAATTAACATGACAAACTTGTCAAAAAATATTTCACATAAACAAGAAGATTTGCTTCTTAAACACGCATTAGATTCACCCACCATAGGTAAAAATATAAACATACAATGCAAAGAATCAGTGGCAAAGAGACATTCAAGAAGACACTACACCCAGGAAAATAATAAATTAGGAACTACGATCAGAATTAAGACTTCAGTAGAAACTAGGATAGGAAGAAAGACTTCAGTAGGAACGAAGATTGGAAAAAAGATTGCGTTGGAAACTAGGATTAGAATAAAGACTTGTGTAGATCAAAACTGGGAAGGAAGACTTGCAGTAGAAACTAGGATCGGAAGAAAGACATCAAAGGAACATATGCTCGAAAAAATGACTCAAGTAAAAAGTAGATCTAAACACGGCTACCATGTTCACAAATGCTTATAGCAAGCTCACTCGCATCAAAGCAGCCATCCAGAGTTAGTTAAGAAAAAGTCAAATACAAAAACGACTAAGTCTTGATGAAGAATTTATCGTGGCGCTCGAGAATTATTATTTAATTTTATCATAAGCAACAACCAATCCAAATCCCAAGAAGAATCTTCCGTGCATCATATAGTACATTTAATAGAGGTTAGAGATGAATAATTATTGCAAACTAGCAATTCAAGAAAATATTCAGGATCAACTCTTGATATGCAAGTTATGGGAAATTGTTACAAGCGATCTACACGAAGCAAAGGCAGACTTCCTATTTGAAACTGAATAATTGAAAAAGAGCATAGAAGGAAGAAAGACATGGAAGTTGAAATTGAATGAACTAGAGCGCAGGTAGCAATGATGTTTGAAAAAATATGGAACGCAAGTTGATGAATGCTAGCCACTGGAAATAAATGAAGCTTTGCTTTCTCTCCCGGACAATTATGATTTCATCAGTTATCTTTACCCAAAACGATCCTATCAAGACGCTGAGAATATACAGGTTTTCTATACTTAGCATACAATTAATTATTTGGAACTAATCAATAGCGTTGCCTTCCTTTTTCTAACCAATAGTTCTAGTGTAAGCTTTTGCAAAGTCTAAAAAGACTTATGAGAAAGCAAAACCTTTCATTGGTTCTTCTCTGAATAAGTATACTTGATATTCAGCACTCAACAACTCTTGTGGATGTCAAACATGGAATGAATTTCCATTATGATTTCACCTCTCGATATTGTAAAAATATCTGAAAATTAATTAACAACATAAAATTAGATTGTATGTAGACAATCTAAGGTCACCAAATTTTGAATGAAACAAAAATACGATTGAAAAATAACGAACTATGGTACTGAACTTAGTTAAGTATTTTCTCTTAGCGTAGTTTGCCAATTTGTTTGAGGCAATGTTAGTGAGCAAAGAATCTTATATAATGTACAGCTTAGTAGTTGGAACCATGTGCTCCTTCTAAGAGCTCAGAGATCCAATGGAGAAGGCTGGATAGGTGAACTGAAGTCTTGTAGATTGGGCACGTGAACTGAAGAGTTGTGGATTGTGCATGCAAACTGAAGACTTTTGGGTTGAGTACATAAGCTGAAGACTCGGGAAGACCAAGTGAAAAGTTTGGAGTCTTCAAATAATTCAGGATATGGAACATTTATTGTCTGCAGGCAGTGAACCCTCTGACTTTTCTATCTCTAGCACAGCTTTTGTGAAGACGTCACTTACAATCTGCACAGAAATGAGAGGAATTATAAAATACATAATGCCAAGATAATATGCTGAAAGTGAAAGCAGAGTTGAATACACATTTGCACATGCACATATGATGGTAAAGAGATGCCATGCACTAAAAAGATTAATGTGGTAGTTCAAGGATACAGAATTCCCTATCTATTTCAAGGTAATGGGTTCAAAAATTTTCGCCCATAACCAAATTTATTATACTACAAAAAGCACAGTAACCTTGCACAAAAGTTATAATTGATATTCATGGCCCAATTGAAACTTGACCATCCATTAAACCTTTTTTCAATTACCAAATTAAACATTTTGCAATGAACATGTTAAATTTTCACACATGTTCTCATAATTCATATGCATAGTTAAATGCAAACTTACCCATCCTCCCCCACCAAAAAAAAGAGAAATAAAATAAAAAAGGATTAATAAAAAATAATGGAATAAAAATGAAGTAGCAAATATAAACCACAAAGTAGCAATAAATGAAGTAACAAATATCAATCACACCAGGTTGGGTAACTCACATCCCTCCTTTTAGCGGTGGTCTCAATGAATATGGCGCCCCATGAGTCAGCGACTCGCTTACCCTCCTCCAAGCTCACCACGCGTTCCTTCTGCAGGTCAGTCTTGTTGCCCACCAGCACAACAGGCACCCTGCACGTCACAGGTGGTGGCTATAATAAGTTTTGTTTAGTATTTTTGCTCCTATTGCATCAGCAACTCATTTTGTATACCACTAGCACCATAGGCACCCTGACAGGTAGTTGTTATTATGGTAAAGCAGTCAAGTTCTGATTCACAACAAAATATTATTCATTAGTGGAGATAGTTAAAATTCCAATTTATAAGTTATTTCCAATATTTGTTGAATATATTACTTATTGCTGGACCCAGAGACAAATTTTCAACTGATGAACCTACAATAAATAGTTTGTGAAATACTTGATAGAGATATAAATAGAATTTAATAGAAACTATTACTATAAAAATAATTACAACAAGGTTCTTAAAACATATTTGTTGTAATAAAACGCTAGAAATTAATAAGAATATGTTCAAGGCAATAGAGTGCTTTGAACATATAGCCAACTCTGCTGAATTGCAAGAATATGTTCAAGTGCATAGGCCGTTTCCACACGTGCTGTTAATTAGAAAAATAATTTGATAAGAGAAGATGATCCAATTGTTCTTTGATCCAATTCCTCCAAACAGCCTTCCATGCAAATTAAAATCTCTTAGTTGTCAACAATTAACTGTTACTCACGTGACTTTGCCAATCATGTCCAGAAGTTTGGAATAAAGATTTTGAACAACTTGGAAACTCTTGTCATTTGTGATGGAGTAGACTAGAACATAGCCATGAATGCCCATGCTATACTGGGCAGGAAATGAAGAGTATTCGTCTTGACCAGCCGTGTCCACAAGCTCCAGTGTGTAGTCTTCCCCTCGTACCTGTTGTGTAATACAATCTTACTCGTATTTATTACCACCAGGCAATGAGGAGGTAATAAACAATGACAATGATCTGAAAATATACATCTACATATAAAGTTATAGAACCACTTATATATTTTGGAACATAATAAAAAATAACATTTAACTATGTTCAACATCAATGTTCATTCAATTATGTTGAACTTGACACTATAATTTGTCTATTCAAATTCAATTCCTCCAATATGCAAAATAAATATAAATATAATTTTTAAGACAATCCAAAGATGGCATCTTAGCCTGAGTCACAGAATTAAGGCATTTTATTGGCTATAATCAGATAGGTTACATAGGTATACATAAACAATTCATTAGTTGATACAAAAGCCCTTCAAACAGCTTCTTTTATATCAGTAACAATTTCCAAGCTGTTAGCAATTTCATTGCTTCAGGGTTTTAAGCTAATAGGAGTCAAGTATAATATATGTATATTATTTTTACCGACATGTAAGACCGACATTTTTACTGACGATGTAAGAAAGATATTTTTACTGACAATGTAAGAAAGATATTTTTACCGACGATGTAAGAAAGACATTTTTAATAACTAAGAGCAAAAATGCACATATTGAGTCAAAATATTTGATATATATATACCGGTATATATAAATAGGTATTGTTTTAATTCCTTAGTGGAATATAAATAAACTTTTAGATAGGTAATTTTGTGCATTAATTTAGGTAATTCATATTAACATATAACAACACAGCAGTGGTTCTAGTTGTGGCAGTAATTAGGCAAGCTCAACTTCTCAAGTAATACACTAGGCTACAGTTGGACAGATAAAAAATAATATAGGTATAACCATTTAAATTAAACTTTATTAATTCTTTGAATAACTAGTTACTTATTTAGGCCCTAGTGTTTTAATGTTTGCACAGCAGCACTTCACCAAAAGCTGGAAAAGCTACTAAATAAATTAATATTAGCTAAATCAAAATAAGGTGTATGGATTACTTATGAGGATAAAAAAATTTGAATTACTCTGGTACAATTTAGGCTGGAATGAGATAAATGTCACAGTTTTGATGTTTTTAAGAAATAGCAAGGATTACCATTCAAGACTCACTGACTGATAATTGAGAGAATTAAAGTCAAGCTTACCCTGAGATTTTTATGGAATGTGTTTTCAATTGTAGGATCATAGTTGTCCACAAAGTGCCCCTCCACAAACTGGATACAAAGAGTTGATTTACCTGCAAACAAAACAATACTTAGCAATTAGCATTTATGAGAACTTAAAACACAATTTTGAGAATTAATTTATACCTACCTATTGTATCTCAGCTGCTCAAAATTCATAAAATGCACGAATGGCTAGTAGTATATTTTTTCAGCTGCAAAATCATGACCCCACAAATCCAGTCACAGCTTTTTGTGTGGACATTTTCCTAAATTAAACAAACTGAACCCCGCTGGAATATTGCAGAATTTGCTGAAACTTCTGGTAAAAATATAATTTCACCATTCCACAAGCAATTTAAATTAAATAGGCAAACCATTTTCCTTAATCTTTATGAAAGAAAGTTGGCAAGGGCTGTACCGCTGTAGGAGTAAGAACATCTGAAATTTTATGTACCTACCTAGGTATGCAAGCCTCAGCCTCACTGCAAGCTGTGCAAGGGCATTTTTTTCACCTCAGCCTCATTTACAATCACAAGTGGCTTCTTCCCATCCCCCAATATTAAAGTTTAGCTGACCTTAATTTCTAAATTTTCAATTAAATTTGTATGTACAGTCTATGGATGAGGACGAAGTGGCTTTGGCAAAATTTTCCTGTTCCGTTAGTGTTAGCCTACGCCCTACTTGTTAGACAAGTAAAACAACTTGCACAAACATTATTAATTACTAAGAATTGAAGTAGGTATAGGCTAGGTATATAACTTACCAACACTCTGGTACCCCATTACAGCAATTTTACGTGATCTGTCTGGCATCTTAAATTGCGTATAAACAGTCGAGTTTTGCTTATCAGGTTAAGCAGGTAAAAATGCCCCAAAAATTTTCAGACAAATCAGGATTTTTTTTTATCATAAACCTTGCGCAAACCTCAGAATTGGCACATTCTGGAAAAGTGAATGCGCAAAGAGTTTGGTTAATCAAAGAGCTAACTCAAGAGACTAGTAATAAAAATGAGCAAAAACGAACACTTCGTAGTTCGTTCTAATACTATAGTTCAATGTTTATTTACTCGTAATGAGAAAAGAACGAAAGTTGTAAATAACACAAACAAATAATACCTCTCTTTCATCAAGTATAATATTCTATTTTAGACAGTACCAAGTAGAAGTATCTTAAATAAGGATTATTATTTATTTAGTAACCATCAATGAAGTGAAATTGACAGAGGTATATCTTTGAAATGCAATCCGAATTCCGAACCTCTGCCGCAAACTCCCGCTGCATCCGCAAAAAAGTCCAAATTTAATAAATGAGCAACGCGGGGCGTTTCTGTTTCCAAGGAATGAGAAACGATCTAGAATGTCACAATAAAAAATGTATAACTATGAAAACTGTTGAAAATAGGTTTCATTATAAATTGAAGTTGAACATATAAGCAGATATAAATTTCGGTCATTTTAAAGTGCTTATTTAATTATTTGTCATTGTTATTTTCATAGTAACTGAAATTAATATTTTTAATGATTTTGTAAACCAGATTATATTAGCTCAAATTACCTTATATTTATGTTGGGATAAATGTTTGGCTGAAAAAGCCAAATCTCTTACATTTATTTATTTATGTTCAGTCTTAAAATGCCTAGCAAATTACGGACTATCTCAATCAATCGTCAGCTATGGAAAGATCGGGTTCCAAAGGCCGGATCCCTTGTGAATCAAGTCACGAAAAGTTCAAAAATCGGCAACAGGCCATGGGCATATTTCTACAACGCCGACACTTCTATTATATTCTATTCTATTATCGCTGCATGAAAATTTAAAATAGCTACTGGATTAAGTACTTTATAGTACCTGAAAAATTTGTTAAGAACTTCTATCAGGTACTTTATAACTGGAAAGTATTTCAGTAAGTAAAACGTCTGTGAATTACTCTAGTCCCGCAAAACCGAACGGTAGACGAGTTCAAGTTTTCTAATGCCCCAGCATATGCGAAAGTACGCTGCGGTCCTATGAATGAAGTGAAAATAAACTTTGTCAAATTTTTAAGTGGTTCAGAATTACCCACGATACGCATGCTCAGCCAGTTGATTTGGGAGAGATATAGGGATAAATGTGACCATAATGAGTTTACATCCATGCTGGGTCTCATGACCTACGTGTAACTATAATAATATAATAGCAGTTTCAGCGTTTATTAGACCATAGGCCTGTCGCCGATTCTTAACATCGCAGAACTTCCACAACTTGTTGCGGTCTCAAACTCACAACTCACTGATTCAATTCTGCTCAGCTTAACCGCCCGGCCTCCTCGCCGATTCTGACCAGAAACTGACGCAGAGAGCTGGGATCGAACCGGCGCCTCTCTTCGCCAATCTTGGTACTCTGAACTTTAACCACTGGGCCACCCTGCCACACTAGTGCGCATCTGCGCGCATTTTGGTAAGCTGTTGCGTAATGTTGATTCTCGCTGATGTCAGTGGGCTGTTCGTCGGATATCTCCCAATTGTTGTACTGCACCGACTGTGAACGGAAACTACAGTCGGTGCAGTACTCCTTGAGAGGAAGCGTAAGAGCTCCTTAACTATGACCGTCGTTTGCGTATCTCCTGTTTTGAATGTGCGTAAGATTTGCCGATCCAAAGGGGAGCGCAGCCGAGCACCACCAATTTTGTGCACCAATAAGCCCTGAATCGAACGCCTTGGATCTCTCCTGACCTACACCAATCAGCCGTGCACCACTCGGCTTTGTCCTCTTCCGGCTTTGACCACCACCTGCCGTGCACCACCAGGCCGCGGATCGAATCTGACTTCCAGGCATCGTTTAATTACGTAATTTTACGTTCACCGCATCTGAGGTTAGGTTTCAGATGGCATAGTTCTGTTCCAAAATTTATCGTCCTTCGACAAGTGGCCGTTCGACCGAGGGCTGGTTCGACCCACGGCCTAGATACGGACGGCTATAAGTGTGGAAGGCTACGTTCCGGAAGGCAGGAATCATGATGGTCCATTACATCCAGGGCAGTGGTGGTCTTCGGCAGGCGACCCGTCACTGTTTCCGTACTTAATTTATTTAGATATTAACCCAGCATGGCCGTACCATTTAACTTCCCTGAACGGTTTCTACCATTCTGATACCACGAACCTGAAATAAGGTTTGGATCGGCCAGGAGACTCAGGGCAAGTGTGAAGGCCCTTCGATTCAGGCTTGCGTATTCTCTCGTAAGTCATAGAATAGAATGGAATAGAAGTGTCGGCACTGTAGAAATAGGCCCATGGCCTGTTGCCGATTATTGAATTTTTCGTGACTTGATTCAAAAGGAATCCGGCCTTTGGAACCCGATCTTTCCATAATTGACGATTGATTGAGATAGCTGCTGGACTTATTACCTTGTCCGTAATTTGCTAGGCATTTTCAGACTGAACATATGCTTCTGCATAGCTTCGTCTAGTCTGTTCTTGAAGGCGTTCATACTCGGAGCGTCAACGATGCTATCAGGGAGGCTGTTCCACATGTCGGTGACTCGAAGCGAGAAGAAATGTTGTCGCATGGTCATGAAGGAGAACATCTGGGTGGAACATAATAATGCTGCGTGAAGACGGACGGAGCGTGGCAGCTTATCTTCAATGACTCATTTTTCGTCACTCTGCAGAGACTGCACTTACCTCGCCAGTCGTCACTAAATGCCGTATAATACTGGTCAGAATTACGATTTGTGGGGTTTGAACGTTTGATTGACACATAATAACTGAGAAGCATTTTCGATTGCGTTGGAAAATTATGAATCAGTTTTGTTAACAAAATAGATCGTTTCTTTTGGAGGCCAGCAACATAAGTGCTGTGGCGAAGCTTGTGGCATTGACGGTAATAGTCTTAGGCTCGTTGGTTTGCTTGACCACGAAGGAAATTTGTGCTTAAAGCTTTTAGCACATAGTTGAAAGGCTGCTATTTTTTTAATCATCATTGCCCTCGTATTGGAGGGTGATATTTTTTTGCTGTTTCTGGCCTCTAAGATGTGCATCTGATCGTAACCTAGTTGGGTTATTCTAAATAATGGTATTTACACCTTCTAAATATTTTTTGTTCACTGTTATGTACAATTGAAAACAACGCGAAAATAGAGCAAAAGTTTTATGATAGAAGGAATCTTTTGTGGAACGCGACGTTTTTCCAACGAGTAACGTATCCAGAATGCGTGTACACGAAAAATTGCATGCTGATTAACGCGCACATCCAATTTTATTTTGCACTTCATTGTGAGAGAGGGCATAGTAAACATTTTTTTTATCAGTGCATGATTTTTAAAACTATTTCTCATTGCAAATGAAAATTAAAAGGGATTTAGAGCATACCTTATACAAATGAATCTGTTTACACGTTTACCATTCAGTGCAAACGCAAACTGTTACAAAAAAATATTTTCTAATTAGCAGCATATTTGTACCTTTAGATTATTAATTGGGATGAAATATTAAATTTTCATGAAAAATTGTTAAAAGATTTAGTTCTATTATATGATAATGATGACCGAAGACATAAGGGAATTGAATATTTTGAATAAAATTTAATAGATCAAAAAGATTCAACATGAATGTGATTTAGTGACTATGGTAACAAATAATTTAAGCTATAATTATTCATATCCTAGAATAGGAAAAAAACATGGAAAGCGTTTGTGATCTATTAGAAAAAAAAAACGTTTAGTATAAGCGATTTCCCCCATGCTTGGGGAGAACGATGAACGTTTTACGAATTCGATAAATAATTTGGTAAAATTTTTTGATGAAAAATCGTCATCTTGATCAGTTTTAATGTTCTTTGAATAACACAACGTAGCGAAGAGATAGGAGACGTGTAGCTTATGCCTCTCCATATAATTTACAGAGGCTGTGATAATGACTGGTCCAATCAAGCGGTCAATAGATGTGTCAAAGAAATTTTTGTTAATGGTATCGCTGGTAAAGATAAGTAATTTCAGTTATCGTACGGCACTGACTTTTTACAAGTTTTTGTAGCAAACGTAGTTTTTGACTTTTTGCACGCGGTTGCCATTCCTCATTTTCGAGTAATAACATATTGTTGTAATGAAATGCAAGAGATTTATCTGTATGGTGATTTCTTAAAACCAACTCAAACGCACGGAATTTCGTAAATGTAGCTAAAAATTGTCCTGTAGTCATTAAGTGCGTCTAAAGTCAACAAACACGATATACATAATTCATGTGGTTTCTTATATAGGAGTGCTTATAGGTACGAAAGTTTAACCAAAACACGTGCCCCTTTGTTAACTCTCTACCGCCGTATGCCACTCACTCGGAACACAACTTTCAACTTAAATTATACGTAAACTATTGAGTGTAGCAACCTGAGGACGTGTGTACGTAACAGAGAACATTGTAAAGTTGTCGTACGTGGCGGCAACCATCAGTGCAAGGCATTTTGCGCTCACTAGAACGTATCCTTTTTAGGTAGCAGGCTTGGGACAATATTGCTCCGGCTACTCATGTCAGGCGGTAGAGGGTTAAGTGTGTGCCGTAGCGCGTTAGTGAAGGAAATTTTGTGATGATATATATAAGCATGCATGTGATTAATCGACATGAGTCGTAAAGAAATATCCTTACCTGCAGACAAACATATTTTTTAGCATGCGGATCACAATTTATCGTTTTAAAATGCTGTTCACAGGACGTTGAAGGCAGAGGTTATATTGAAGAGGCGCGGAAAAAGTAAAGGAAAGGAACGTCCTACGTATGCACTTGACGACCATGATTCGAGCTACAAAAGGCCATGATGACAAAAGGGTTTCGGGCACGGCGGGTGCTGTATATAAATGGGAGTACTGCAACGGACACGAAAAATGGACCTGTCTTCTACTGCAGAATGGCAGGTATGAGTGCAGCCTATGTGATATTGATGCGTTGTAGTATATTAATAACAGTCGGCTATTAGATTATATAATCTTCATAAAAATCTAGACAGGTAGGGATTTTTAAATTTATCAGTGAGGGTGAGAAGGTAAACATCAGGCTGCCGTAGGACTTCAAAAAACTAATGCTGCTGTAGTTCAAAAACTAATTCGTTATGATCTCGTACGTTTAGAGTTACAATTAAGAAAGGTTACCGCTAAAGAACACCAATAAGTGACAGCCGCGTGAAGTATAACTGCAGCTACAATATCCCACCAGGCATCTAACGTTGATAAACGTTGGTTTAGCGCAGTGGTTCCCAAAGTGGCCGGGCGATGGAAAGATTTTGGGGGGCGATAAAGAATAGGAGG